CATGGAATAGACTCCCTGACAGCCAGTCATTGACACACTAAGAACATGGTGGCCACCACTGGGGACGCAATGCTTGGAGCTAGGACAGACACTTCCTGACAAAAGTGTGGGTAATGAGGCCTTGGATTGTTGGCTTCTTCATCCGACTTTTCACTTCTTTCTGTATTGTTCCAGAGGTCTCTTCCAGCTGTAGGTTAATGTTTCCTCTGTTGTTGTTGTTGTTATGTGCCATCGAGTCAGACCCGACTCATAGTGACCCCTCCTTGGGTTACCGGGGCAGTATCACTACAGAAGTAGATTGCCTCATCTTCCTTCCAAGGAGTGGCTGGTGGGTTTGAACTGCCAGACTTCTGGTTAACTGTCAAGTGCCTTAGGTTTCCTCTGGACAATTTTATTCATCTCTAGTCAGCCCTTCTCAGCTGATTCAAAACTAACCTATTCACTATTTTCCCTGACCACATTCTCCTTGTGCTGTGGTGACTCCCTGACCACGTTCTCCATGGACCCCCTACCCAAGAGCTCACCACTGGAGTTCTTGAACCTGGCGCAGAAATGCAGATGCTCTTCTTGAATACTGTCTGCAGAATCCCTGTTCTGTTTGTGCAGTTGTTTGGTGGGTGTGATTGTGGGTGTTGGTGTCTGGCTGGTGTGGGAAGTGGACCCCCGTTGCTCCTTGTGCAAGCGTCTCAGACTCTGGGCTTTCACCTTGTCTTCTACGAAACGGGGAGAACAACAGCCATTGTCTCACTTATCTAGTGCTGCTGTAGGGGAAGAACCACGGGTGAGTGGCCTTCCAACCAAAAAACCAAAGTCACTGCCATTGAGTCGGATCCAACCCATAGCAACTCCTCGAGTTTCTGAGGCAGTATCACTATGGAAGTAGATTGCCCAGCCTTCCTTCCGAGGTGTGCCTGGTGGGTTTGAACCACCAGCCTTGTTGTTATATTCCATTGAGTTGCACCCGACTCATAGCAACCCCTCCTTGGGTTTCTGAGGCAGTACACTATGGAAGTAGATTGCCCAGCCTTCCTTCTGAGGAGTGGCTGGTGGGTTTGAACTGCCAGCCTTCTGGTTAGCAGTCAAATGCCGTAGGCACTACACTACCGGATCTCCCTGAGTGGCCTTAAGGAACAGAAATTTAGTTTTTCACAGCTTGGGAGGCTCGAAGTCTGAATGCTGGGCACCGGCTCTAGGGAAAGGCTCTCTGTGCCAGCCCTGGAGGAAGGTCGTTGTCTCCTTTGAGCATCTATCTGCTCCTGGCTGGTCTTCATGTGGCATCTTTTCCTCCATGGCTGCTTCCCAGAGTCCTAGCTTCATCTGGTCTATTTATATCTCAGAAGAGTTTGACTTTAGGCCCACCCTCCACTGGGCCTGCTTCATTAACATAACAAAAAATCCACATATGGGGTTACAACCACAGCTGTAAGCCCAGTGGTCCCCAGTCACGTGGCCTTGTGGATATTGTGGGTATTTACATCTTGCCATTCATTTCTGACCACAAAATGTTATTGCCATAATTATCCTAATTGCACCTTAAAACTCAGAACCTGGCCGACTGAATGGATAGCTCTTGGAGACAGAAAGAGGAGAATCGAACAGGGTCACGGAAGTTCTTGACCGTAAATGCGAGGGCCCTGTGCGTCTGAAAGGGGGTGCCCAGTGCTTGATGTCCTGACCTCTGTGTTGCTTCCCAGTGAGTTGTGAAGATGTCACGTGAAATGCAACATGCAAGATGCAGTTGACAATCTACATAGTTCCTCAATTCCCAGTGAGTGTGGTGATAAGGCAAAGGTTTGGCACGACGTCCTCAGCTCTGGTTGCCCGTTCTTAAGGTCATTCTGGAACAGGGGTGCTGCTGGGTGTGGCTCCACCCGAGCATTCTTGCCTCCTCTGAGTGGACCCCCACCACCCAGAGACAGGACCCGAAGGCCCCTGTCAGGATTGTAGTTGCCATGGCAATGGAAAGGGTGAAGCTGGTTGAGGGCACTGAGCTCATAAAAGGTATCCTGTTTCCATTTTGATGAAGGATAAACGTTTCTGAAGTCATGTCTGAAAGCTCATCAGCTCTGTCCAAGTTGTGTGCATGTGTAAGTACTTGATGAATGACGAGTGACGGTGCCTGACAGAGGAGCTGAGAGTGGACGCCTCTATTCTGAGTCACGTGTCCTCTTTCACTCGTGTTTTCGCCCTCTCTTTCTGGTGGTGATGTGAGAAGGTGGACAAGAAGTAACAAGGACTGAGACAAAATGCACCGTGTGTGTCCCGTGGCGTCAGTGCTGCACTAAATGCACCATATGTGTCCCGTGGGGCTGGTGCCACACTAAATGCACTGTGTGTGTCCTGTGGGGTTGGTGCCACACTAAATGCACTGTGTGTGTCCCGTGGGGCTGGTGCCACACTAAATGCACCATGCGTGTCCTGTCAGGTCAGTGCCACGCTAACTGAGGCTGATGCAGATCAGGGTGCTGAAGCAATTCCTGGACATTAGAACTTGGGGACAGCACTACATTTCCCCTGAGCCAACACCTTAAGCTGCGGAACGGCTTCCCATCTCCAGTAAATGCCAGGCTTTGTCTAAAGAAGGGTGTCCCTGGGTCTCACGTACAGTGAAGATAGGAGTCCTTGGTAGCACTGACAGTTAAGGGCTTGAATACTGGCCCAAAGGTTGGTGGTCTGAAACCACCTAGAGGCTCCTGGGAGGAAAGGCCTGGAGGGTGCTTATGAAAGGTCGCAGCCACGTGAAGCCTCCAGAGCAGTTCTCTGCACGCACAGGGTCACTGTGAGCCGTGATGTTCTCCATGGCAACAGCTGTGTGTGCACATGTGTGCACTCGTGTGTGTGTGTGAGGACAGCCATGTCCCATGTGAACTCTCTGGAGCAGTTCCACTCTGCATGCACGAGGAGCCGGGATGTTCTCTATGGCAATGGCTGTGTGTGCACATGTGTGCACTCGTGTGTGTGTGTGTGTGTGTGTGAGTGTGTGAGGACAGCCATGTCACGCGTGAACTCTCTGGAGCAGTTCCACTCTGCATGCACGGGGAGCCGGGATGTGCTCTATGGCAGTGGCCGTGTCTGCACTCGTGTGAGTGTGTGAGGACAGCCATGTCCCATGTGAACCCTCTGGAGCAGTTCCACTCACGGGGTCACCGTGAGCTGTGACGTTCTCTATGGCAATGGCTGTGTGTGCATGTGTGTACATATGTGCATTCATGTGTGTGTGATTGTGTGAGGACAGCCATGTCCCACATGAACCCTCCAGATCAGTTCTCCTCTGCATGCACGGAATCACCGTGAGCTGTGATGTACTCTATCACAATGGCTCTGTGTACACGCATGCACATGTGTAGTTTGTGTGTGAGCATGTAGGATAGTCATGTGCCCTTGGAAGGAAGCAGCAAAGCACAACGGCTGTGTTTGTGCATGTGTGTTAGCATGTATTTGTGTGTGAGCACAAATGTACATGCATGCATGACCTTGTTTGTATGTGAAGAAAGCCGTGTCTCCTTGGAAGAAGGCAGTGAGGCACAACGACTGCGAGTGCCTGTGTGTGTGTGATCATACTTGTTTGAGCATGTGTATATGTGTGAGAACAGTCATATCCCCTTGGAATGAAGCAGCAAGGCACAATGATTGTGTATGCCTGTGCATGTGCATGTGTGTGAGTATGTGAGGATAGCCACGTCCCCTTGGTAGGAAGCAGTGAGGCACGACTGTGTGTGTATGTGTGTGTGCACGTGAGGACAGCTATCTCCCCTTGGAAGCAGTCAGGCACAATGGCTGTATATGCCTGCATGTGTGTTTGTGTGTGTGTGCATGTGAGCACGTGTTTTAGCATGGGTATGTCTGTGTGTGTGGACAGCCATGTCTCCTTGGAAGGAAGCAATGAGGCACAATGACTTTGTGTATGCATGTGTGTAAGCATGTGAGAAAGCCACATCCCCTTGGAAGGAAGCAACAAGGTACAACAACTGTACATGTGCCTGTGTGTGTGTGTGTGTGTGCATCTGTGTGTATGAGGACAGTCATGTCCCCTTGGAAGGAAGCAATAAAGCATGACTGTGTGTGTATGTGTGAGCTTGTGTGTGTGTGAGGATAGCTATATCCCATTGAAAGGAAGCAATGGGGCGCAACAACTGTGTGTGAGAGCATGTGTGTGTTTGTGGACAGTTGTGTCCTCTTGGAAGGAAGCAATGGGGCGCAATGACTGTGTCTGTGCATGTGTGATCACATGTGTGTGAACACGTGTGTGAATGCATGTGTGTGGACACATGTATGTGCATGTGTGAGCATGTGAAGACAGCCATGTTCCCTTAGAAGGAAACAGAAAGGAACAACAACTGTGCATGTGTATGTGTGAGCATGTGTATGTGTGTGTGCGTGTGAGGACAGCTGTGTCCCCTTGGAAAGAAGTAACAAGGCACAACTGTGCTTGTGCACATGTGAGCATCTGTGTGTGAGCATATGTACATGCATGTGTGTGCATGTGTGTGTGAGGACAACTGTGTGCCCTTGGAAGCAGTGAGACACGAGTGTGCATGTGCATGTATGCATATGTAAGCACATGTGTGTGAGCACATGTGTGCATCTGTGTGAGCATGTGTGTGTGTGTGAGGACAACTCCTTTGGAAGGAGGCAGTGAGGCACAACGACTGTGTGCGTGCATTTATGATCATGTGTGTGTGCGTGTGTGCATATGAGGACAGCCATGGCCCTTGGAAGGAGGCAAGGCACAACGACTGTGCTGCACATGTGTGAGCACGTGTGTGTATGCACATGTCTGTGCATGTGTGTGAGCGTGTGAGGACAGCCATGTTCCCGTGGAAGGAGGCAACGAGGTACAAAGACTGTGCTTATGCATGTGTCAGGATGTGTGTGTGTAAGCACATGTGTGCATGTGTATGTACATGCATGTGAGGACAGCCATGCCCTGTTGGAAGGAGGCAGTGAGGCACAGAAGGAAAATTGTGTGGCTGTTGAGCTGTCCCTTCTCTTGTTTTCAGAACCAAACTTCGTGTCCTCTTACGACATCGGGAATTTCACCTACTTCTTCTTCCGAGAAAACGCCGTGGAGCACGACTGTGGGAAAACGGTGTTCTCCCGTGCCGCCCGGGTCTGCAAGAATGACTTGGGGGGGCGCTTCCTCCTGGAGGACACGTGGACCACGTTCATGAAGGCACGCCTCAACTGCTCACGCCCCGGCGAGGTGCCCTTCCCCTACCACGAGCTGCAAAGCACCTTCTACCTGCCTGAGCTGGACCTTGTTTACGGCCTCTTCACCACCAACGTGTGCGTAGCCCCACGGCCTCCCTGCTGGCAGCCCTGCCTGCCCTCTGTGTGGCCCTGCCCCTCACCTCTGAGGTGCTATAACGTTGCTTTAAAGCTAACATTCTTATTTCACTGGGTTTAAGGCCAATAGACAAAAACAGGGGGTTCTTTCTTCAGTGTGACTTAAATGTTACCAAAGATATGTGACTTCTGAGAGTGCTATTCAGAAGGTGACGCTAATCAGAAAATATTTCGGGTGTCCTGTGAGAACAGTATTCAGTTGTTGTAGGTGCTGTCGAGTCAGCTCCGACTCATGGCGACCCTGTGAACAACAGGACAAAACACTACGCAGTCCCGCACCATTGTCACAGTCCTTGCTGTACCTGAGCCCCTCATCGCAGCTGTGTGTCAGTCCATCTCATTGCGGCCTTCCC